TCCTACAAAATAAACAACCTTTCTATAAAAACTCTGTTAATAGTCTCTTCTTTCTCTGTCCCGCTGTTTTTTTTTCCTGATTGGCAGATCCATCTTTCCTTACCATATTTGACAGAGAAAGATACTCCCATGTTCATGCATTGGCACAGATGTAATAATTTTGATCCAACCCCACCCAAAGTAGGTCTTGTTAGACCAGGTTTCTCAGGCCCTTCTCCAGTCAAAATTGAGGCATTTTAACAGGGACCTGAGGTAAAATCAAGCTCTGAGTGGCAGAATTTAACTTTGGGTTACTTTTGTATGGAGCGGGTACGTATTTCATGAAAGTTTTACATTCACAAAATAAAAAGTAATTTTCTGTGAGAGACAGTTGTAGTTACAACCGTAGTTGTAGCTATGATGAAAGGATATGAAAGCTTCTCTCCTTAAGTCAGAGTTTTATTTTGTGTATTTTCACACCAGCTTTACAGACATTGTATCCAAATTTAGCAGATGGCAGGGCCCAACATGCAGCTCTGAATAATCTTCAGTAAAACACACACCTTCCCAAAATGCATAGAGAATTAGGTACTCTGTGGTCTGTGCTTCTTCACTGCATGTCTTCATTCTGGAGTAACTTCATTTTCACTGATTATCTGTTCAGCTAGCTTTGGGAGAACCACCCCATCAGCCAGTTTATCCACATATCTACAGGCTAAGGGTTAGCAACATCAATGTCCCTTCCCATGACTTTGCTCTTCATGGCACACGAGGAATGCCATGTTGGTGGCTAGGAGGGTAGGAACAACAGTGAGTTTTAAATGCTGATGAAGAGTTACATTTTATTGTTCTGTTTGTAAGCCTCCAGGCAGCTGTGACTACTTTCTCTTAGAATTTCTGTTTTGGTGTCCAGTGTTCTTGGACAGAAACCACATCTACAAATAGTTCTTTCAGCAAGCTGGTCCAGTTCAGACATCTATTGTGGTTTGTATTTTGCAAACTTAATACAAATATTAACATGCAGCACCTAATTGTGCCTTTTGGGGGTGTTGGGGAAGATGAAACAGGGAAACCTTATGAATATGATTGTCTAGCAAAAGGTTCTGAAAATATGAAACCTAGGATCGAAACAGAAATGAAAACTAGCTTTGATCTATAGGAAACTGAGTGCTAGTTACTATATAACCAAAGAACAATAGCCTAGCCAGCTGAAGGAGAATCCCTGTTGATTGAACAATACCCTTCTGCTGATAGTGAATCCAAAGTTCAAGCAGCAAGAGAAGAATTTGAAAGGTAGCTTTTAGAGTTTAAAATGTAACACTGTATGGTAATGTAGTAGTTCTTATAGGCTATATGTAAATTCTATAGAATGTGTGTCATGTAGTGGTTGGTTACTGGAAATTAGAATATTCACTATAGAAAAAGATATAGTAACAAGAACTTCACTCTCTTAACTCATGCTCTCTTAATTTTACCCTCTTTTACTTTTACCTGCTCTTACCCTCTCATAACTTCTTACATTCTCTTAAGCTCTGCTCTTACTTCTTGTATTCCCTGCTCTTACCCCCTCTAGCCCCTCTTTCTCTACCCCCCTAATTACCTTCAGCCCACATGCTCTCAGTCTCATCTTTCCACTCTCTCTCTCCCTCTGAGCACGTTTATGCTGTGGCTGGGAGCATAAACTGTTCCCTTCCTCCCTCTGCCTAAATAATAAACTGCTTATACCTGAACAGCCTGACCCTGGAGAAGTCTCTCACCGCAAGCATGTTTTGTGCATCAGATAAGCAGATAATAAACATAATAATAAACAGTTAAATATCTCCCTTTATAGAAGCCAAGTGTTTGCCTTCTTGCTGTTAAAAACAAATGTTAGGTTAGCTGTTTGGTTAATTGTAATAAATGCCCTGGATTCCCCTCACGCTGCTAGTTTATTCCTTTGATTATTTAAGGACATGCAAAACCACTATTAGCCTATTTTTAGAGGTGCAAGTACCGCAAAAGTATGATTATGTGTGATGGAAGTATGTACTCTTTTCCAGTGTTATTTTAATATCACTGTAATTCCTGCACAGTATGATCAGTGGGATGGGGCTGCATACTAGCACCTTACGGTGACATCATCTACAGAGACTACTTATTCCATACTTTTTCCTGAAAAGGCTCCCCTTCCTAAATTAAGTGGAAAAGATGAGCATCATATCCATTCACCTTTTTAGCTCTGTGTCCCCAAAATCTCTCCTATGACCTGTAATTCTATGCTTATATGCCATTCTAGAAAGGCTAGTATTTTTTTACAATGATTGGGTTAATTGTCATACAAACAATCTCATACATTTTTGCAATATCTCTTCTACTTGCAGAAATCGATTCAATCTTCTTGCAATCTTCAAAGCTCCATTTGTTCTTGCCAAGGCATCCTGATTATCAAATCTCTTACGGTAATCAGGTCCAAAGTACTCTCTGTCTTTGCAATATACTGTGGAGTTTGCCTTCCTGCTAGGATGGGAGAAATGGAATGTGAAGCAAACACTGTAAAGCTGGGGAGGCTTTATGGCCATGTTATGTGCCACAGCTTCCTTTAGCAAAAGAAAAATGGATCAGGAAGGGCAACGTGAAAGAAAACAGAGGAGCACAAGAGCAAGGCCTTTGACTAGACTGCATTGTCAGCTCCTTCAGAGGTTTCTCTGCTGACTGTCAGGCTGGCAGGTTCCCATGATTTCCTATGGGCACTGACCTTGCCATGCAGCTGCAAGAGAAGCTCAAGGAGGAAGTGCCCTAAGAAAGAGTGTTGTGGAGAGAGGAGAAATCAGGTGTCTCACCTGTCCATGTAAAGGCCAAAGGGTCACTGCAGGAGCAAAACAAACGGAGAAACGCTGTCATTCTTCAGGCAAACACTGAGTCTGTGTGGTAAAAATATGCCAGCGTCCAAGAGGACAGAGGGTGCTGTTCCTGAGGGTATGATGTTTGTCCAACAGTCCTTGTGCTATACTTCCCTCCAGGAGTACTAGCCTGCAGGATGGGGAGAAAGAAAATAAAGCAAATAATCAAGTCTATAGTCCTAGACTTGGTGAATGATTTTAGTGTGGATTCGTATAAACTGCAATGTTGATACACCATCAACTGATGTTTATACAACATCAGTATTTTTCACTGAAAATGTTTGCTAAGCAACAGGTACCTATATAACTTAGATCAAAGTTACATATATAAGGTGCTTATATAGCTTGAGTTTTAAGATATAAATATAATCTATCTATAAACCTATAGTTTTTCTATATAAACTGATATCAATATAACCTAAATCATGACTTTTTATATATCTATATAAGCTGATATCTATATAACCTGAATAATAGCTTTTTATTATTTAACCTGTATAACCTAAGTCATAACTTTTTATACCTATTTTACCTGATATAAAGAACTTTTTATGTGATGTAATGGCTAGTACATAGTCAACTAGTTGCTTAATGCTGAATAGACAAAAAAAAAAAAACAAAAACAAAAACAAACAAAAAAACCACCTCACAGACTGGACAGCTTTAGAGATAGATAAGCTGTAGTGTCTGGGCTCCCTTAGAATGAATTGGAACATAAAGACAAACAGTTAAGAAAAAGGACAAGGTTATCAGACACAGAAAGAACAAGTTGTGGTCAGTAAAAGAACATAAAGTAAGAACTAACAGGATGAGAAAAAAAATAATTAAATAAATTGTAGTCCAATATACGCCAATGTAGTTATCCACTTATATGCTTATAAAAGTGTGTGAGCAATACATGCAGCCAATTGTAGAGGAGATAATTACGTGTATAGATTTGTATACAGTATAAATGTAACCCAACTTAGAAAATAAACAAACGATCTGATCATCGTATTGGTGCTGTGTCGTTCCTGTCCCCTCATGAAGAAATGAAGACCCCAGCAATAAGTATAGTACTAATGAAAAATTGGCAAGTGTAAAGACAATTAGCCACAAAACAAAGAATTTAGGCTGGTTAAGACCAGACAGACCAAGGAACACCATAACTGCACATGCTCCAAAGACAAAGTTGAAAAGTTCAGATGCAAAGAGGACTTTGGAAGCCTTCACAAATGACCCCCAAAGACTCCTGAACTGGGGAGGTGCAAGCACAGTGCAGTAGAACTGTCTAATAACCATGAGATCACACTACATTAGTTCTGGAGCGTATGTGATGATGTCGTAGTGACATAGTGATACTACATGATACTTACTCTATTGTAAAAAAAACACAGCACTTGACAAAGGTGGGTGAGTTAGGAGGAGAAATCCCCCTCATCTCCATCATAGCAACAAACAAATACCTGCTCTACAGACATCAGTCTATGGGGATTTTTTTCCAGCCTATCTTTTGTGCATCACAACAGAGAAGTTTGCATGTCATTGGAAGACTGGTGGGTATCCCAGTGGGATTTTTTGGGAGAAAATTTGGTTCGCAGCTGTGCACCTCAATGTGGGTATGTTTGGTCTGACAACCATTATTTTCACAGGACATCAAAACTTGCTCTTTCATTTTACCTGATACTGTATCACATTTTGCCTTTCCATGTACCAACTGGAAAATATGTTTCCATGATAGATTTTCCAGTGAGAAAAAACAGTGTAATACTTAGGAAGTCACTGAAATGTCACCAGCCTGACAGAGCTCAAGAAGCGTTTGGACGATACTCTTGAGCACATGGTGACTTTTGGGAATGGTGCTGTGCAGGGCCAGGAGTGGGACTTGATGGTCCTGATGAGTCCTTTACAAGTCAGCATATTCTGAGCTTTCCAACACCTGGACATCACTTACAGGTTGTTGCCTGCTTGATTAAATCTCCCTTCCTGTCGATTAGGCCTGAAAGCACACAAAGAACAAACATCAAAGAACGCCTTTTCCTCAGGTAATTTTCACACATTCAGTTTCCCAGCGAGGGGGCTGGCTTGAGGGGACGGACTACATTTCCCATGAGACTTTGCGGGAGTACAGCAGAAATGCGTCACCCACGGTGGCCGCAGCAAGGCGTCCCGCTCGCCCCCAGCATGGCGGCGGTGCGGGCGGCGGCGTGGCGGAGGTCTGGGCTCTGGCCCGCGGGGCTCAGGGCGTTTTGGAGCGGCCGCAGGTACCCGCAGAACACAGGATGGTGGGTGGCTTCTGGCCTTCTCCGCATGCTGGGCCTTCACTGGGCCGTGGCCCTCTGGAGGTCACTTAGCCCGACTGAACAAGTCCCTCAGGATTTGTCCAGACGGCTTTGGGATGTCCCTAGGGAAGGAGACTCCACAGGTTCTCTGGGCAACCAGCGCCCACCGAAGTGCACTGCTGGCGGGCGGGTGCAGTGGTGCAGGGTTGGAGCCTTTAGAGCTGTTACTGCTTTTGTTAGGAGTGGGAAGAGGGGGATTTCACGGGAATGAAAAATTGTTCCTTTCTAACATTTTATGTGAAACCACGCATGGATTTTTGCCTAGATTGTGGCATATGAGAAGGTAAAATTTTTAACTTAAAAACACTTAAAAACTAGTGTTTTGGTTTTTTTTTCACATAGGCATTGATTTTGTTCTGTACTAGTGGTTATTTTCTGTTATGCTTTTTATTCCCAGCAAACTAGAAAATGGAGCTGTAGGAGAAACCAAGTAACTAATCTTGTTAAGATGCTGTTTTCACTCAGACCAATGAATTAAGGTGCGTGGGTGATTGCTCTGCAGAGGCAGCCTGTGTGGGGAGCAGCAGTTGGGGAAAGCCTGTGCACTTCTGGATAACAGATCTGATAGGTCCATGAGATGTGTGAATTGCCTGGATTGACCCTGGTTTAAAACACTGCAAATACAAAAATGCTCTGACTCTGTCTTGAGTAGCCCAGAGGCTGAAAATGTTTCTGTTCTGGTGCCAGCAGGAAGGAGGAAAGAGAAGTGGAAGCAGACCAAGCAGTTCCTGAGGAGGAGAGGAGTGATCCCAGCCTGATCTGTCCCCCACCACGCAGCCGGAGTTATTTCCCCCCCGAGGACCTGCAGAGCCGCCTCGAGTCCCATGTCAGGGAAGTCTTTGGGCCCTCTCTTCCTGAGGACTGGCAGCAGACTCCCCTGCAGGAGAACAGGCTGAAGCATCGCCTGCTGGCCCGGCTGGCAGCAGAGCTGGGACATGCTGTCCCCAACTCCCAGCTGCACCAGATGCGCCATGCTGGGGACGTGCTGGGTTTCTATTGCACCCCCGTGAAAGACGGGACCAAAATTGATGAACTCACAGCTTCAGAGCTTCCCCCGAACCTGAAAATCATCTGGCAGCAGTGAGTCCCCCCACAGAGCATTCCCGTGCCTGGCTTGTGCTGCAAGCAGCACCAGAGCCCTCTTGTTGGGGTGAGATCTGTAAATTTCACTAATAAAGGTTCACTGAGCTGCACTTGGGTTTGGCTGTTCTTGTTCTGCTCTATTTTCCCTGCAGACCAGTTCTTGCGAGGAAGAGGTGCAGCATGGGCACTGCCAGCTGCCCCCTTCCTTTTCCCTGCTGCTGGGCACTGACAGGATCCAGGGGGATCAGGACAGGACAAGGGGGCCACCTCCACAGTTCCTACTCTGCACCTCTGTGCTGGTTTTGGCTGGGGTAGAGTTATTTTTGTTCCTAGGGGCTGTTATGGGGGTGTGTTTTTGATCTGTGCTGAACTCAGGGCTGATAGTACTGAGATGTTTTTGCTATTGCTAAGCAGGGCTTGCACAGAGCCAAGGCCTTTCCTGCTTTTGTTACTGCCACACTGGTGAGGGGACTGGGGGTGCATGGAAAGGGACACAGCCAGGACAGGTGACCCAAAGTGCTCCAGGGGATATTCCAGACCATGTGGCAACAGGCTCAGTGTCTAAAATGGGGGAGAAGAAGGAAGCAGGGGACATTTGGAGTGATGGCATTTGTCCTCCCAAGTCACTGTGATGTGTGATGCTGGAGGTGCTGAACACCAGCCCAACCATGGGAAGCAGGGTATTAATTCCTTATTTTGCTTTGCTTGTGTGTGTGGCCTTTCCTTCCCCTATTAAACTGTCCTTATCCCAATGCATGAGTTTTCCAGCTTTTACCCTTCTGATTCTCAGGACCATGACAGTGTTCTCCCCACTGCTCACACTGTGGCTCACACAGTTCTCCTGCTTTCCTTCCATTTCACTACTGTGAAAGCCAGTGCCTGTGTGGCCACTCCTGGGATGTACTTGGCAAGCATTGGAACACAGATGCCAAGCTCTGGAATAAGTTTTCCCAGACTGATGGATGGTACTGTAGCTGTCTGCCTGGATTTCTTCATACTGCTTCTAGTTGGCCCGAATCTGGCTGTTAAAACTACCGAAGGAGCTGCCAACAGGACTGATGTGAGGATTAGTCTGGGTTACCTGTGTTAGCCTTAAGGATGGTGTGATTTTTCAACTTCCCTTTTTCAAAAGGAAAAAAATAACCCCAAAACATGAAAATTTGTTCAATTGACCTGTTTCATATCTCACTGTAACAAGAGCTCTCATGGAATGAAACACTCAACATAGTTAAAATTCATGTTTTCTTTCCAGAGAATGAAACTTGGCAGTTTTTATAACACACAATTCAGTTGAGTTTTATTTCTGTTTTTACTTATATTTACTTTCACTTAGAAACATTAGAACACTGCTTAATTGCAGTACAGTGTAGCCTAACTAATCCATGAATTTGTGGAACATGCCACCAGACTTTACAACTTTGCATCCCTGAATTGTGGATCAGATTGGGTACATCCTCCTTAAGCATCCGGACAGTTTCTATTTTAAGGAAAAAGTAACCATTCAGTTATTTTCTCTGGAGATCAGCTGTCTGCTTTTACCACTCAGCATTCACATAATGTTGGCCTCTTCCAGGCCAAGTCAGAAATTTTAAATAAAAGTGCTGTCTTTGGTATGAAGTGGTGGAGTTTGGTTTTAATTATTTTCCTTTTTTGTTGTGTGGGTTTTTTTGGGGTTTTTTCCTTTGGTTTTGGGTTTTTTTTGTTTAGTTTTGTTGGTTTTTGGTACAGTCACACAAAGCAAAACAAGTGTTCATGAAATTCTGAAAGAAAACAAGGTAGGTACTTCATGTAGCATTTTCTATTTCTAGAATGCTGTCAGTAAGGCTGACTGTAATGATTTGATCTCATCCTGGAGATTTCACACTCTTAGAAAAAGACAGATCTCTGTAGAATAATTAGTATCTACACAACTGTGTATTCTTTGGGACTCTTTCTACTTCTCTTGGCAAAAATGGAATAGTGAAATATCAGGAACACAGAATTTACTAACTGGTTCTTCAGGCAGTCAGATTATAAAGGAAAATCTAAACAAAAGTAATAAATTCATAATGGAGAGTTGGAAAAGGACACCAAGCCTGACATCTTCATTTCCCCATCTCCTGAAGCTAGAAGTTTCTCTTCTTTCTTCCTCTGCTGACCAGGTAGCAAAATCTGTTCCAGGAACAGTGACAGGATCTTTTCAGTTCACAGGTCTAGAATCAGAGCAAGGCAGGAAAGCCAAAGGTTCTTAAAAAGAACAAACAAACAATAAAGGATAGGAAACAATGGTCTTCATTTGCTACTAGGTGTGCCTGAAAAAGGTGAATGCTTGTTTTGTGTCAGCTTGGTGAGGAATTGGGCCAGAATCAAAGTACATTGAAGGATACAGTTCAGCCTATTTCCTGCTGTGTGTCCGTGAAACGGGCTCTTGTGAGAGTACTGACCATGGCATTGGCAGGCAGATAAAATCAGAGGTAAAATTAACTTTGCCTGTAATCTGTAACCATTATAGAGTCCCTAAGACTTACAAACCACAATAAAGGATGGAAATGTAATAAGCAAATATATGATCTACAAGGTAACGTATAGTAGTACATCGTCTACAATACACTATATTTCTATACTATACAGTACAGTAATATATATTCTACAATGTAAGAGTCAGAGATCACAGATAAAAAATATGGGTCTTTGTTCACAAGGTGTGCACCTGATGTGGCTGTCTTCTGTTCTTCGGATTGGTTTTGTTTGGTCTTTTTTTTCTTTGTTCAAGATAGGTGAACAGACAGATGGCTGGCTGAGGGAAATGAAAATTATCTTGTCTTCTTATTTTCTCACATACAATAGACAGTGGGGAAAAAGAAGGAAAAAAAACTGGGGGAGAAATATGCCAGGCGAGGATGTAGTGTGTTAACGTGAAGGAAACTGCAACAAGCGTTGACATTTTGGCATTCAGAACTTGTTTTTACGGGGGTCCAAGTGGTGGAACGTGAACGTTCTTCACTTTCTCCAATATCCGCCATGAAGTATAAATGAAGACGAAAGAGTTTTTATCTACTTAGCTTGCCAAAACGTCTGGATTTGTGTTTAAATGGGTTTAAATGGCAGCACCGGGTTATCCTTCGGAGAAGAGAGCTCTTTCCCAGCCGGACTGACCCGGCGCTCCTTGCCGTTCCTCACTGTCCCACGGCATCACGTGACAGGCGGGAAGGCCTCCTCAGGGGACGGGTCCTGGCAGCTGCATGGACGTCGTAAACAACTCTCCCGTGGCAGAGAGGGAGGAAAGAGGTCCCTCCGAGCTTGGAGCAGAGTTTCTCTGCGTTTCGATTCCGGTTCCCGGCTCGGTGACGGGCGGAGCGCAGCGGGACCCGGCGGAGCGCGGCAGCGCACGCAGCTGCCAGGACCTACCAAGGGAACGCTGCGCATGTGCGGGCCGAGCTCCTTCTCTTCATCGTCCTCGTTGCTCTCCTCGTCCTTTTCCTGATCGTTTTCCTCCTTTTCCTGTTCTTGCTCCTCTGCCAGCGCGGCCATGGGGAAGCTGAACGTGGTGATGCTGCGGTACCTGTCCCGGGAGCACTTCAGGGTGCTGACAGCGGTGAGCGGGCACGGGCAGCGGGGCCGGGCCGGGCGCTATCGCAGCCGGCGGCGGGAGGGACCCGCCTGTGGTGCCGCTGCCTCCCCTGGGACTCCGCGCTGGCCGCTTCTGGGGAGGGCCCGGTTCGGGCCGGCATTTCCTTCGGCCGCCGGGTTGGGGGGAATCGGGAGGGGCAGCGAGTTCTCGGGGGTTCTCTGGAGATGCCAAGAGGAGTCCCTGGGGGCGCCCGGGTGGTCGCAGACCCATCACGGTGAGGCAGCATCCCCAGCGTCTCTGCTGTCTCTGCTCCCCTTGACTGGGACTGAAGTCTAATTAGCCGCTTACGTCGTGACTGGCACTGAAGAACTTCTCAGGGTGGGTTGTACATAAGCTGCCAAGGACCAATGATGAAAATGGAAAGTTCTTTTAAAATGTAGAAGTCAGGTCTTAAAATCTGTAGTCTTTAAAAATTGCCTATTTGCAAAGGGATTTTACGCTTGAGCAGGATCTGATATTTCATTGTTGAACACAGGGCTGACAAATCTGTTTTTCATTACTCTTTTAGGTGGAAATGGGCATGAAGAACCATGAAATAGTTCCTTCCAGCTTAATTGCTTCCATTGCCAGCCTTAAACATGGTGGCTGTAATAAAATTCTGAGAGAGCTGGCAAAGCACAAACTTGTGGCTTACGAACGAACTAAAAGTGAGTTTGAATTTTGTGTTGGACACCCTTTCTTATCCTGTCCCCAATGCCTCACAGTGGTAGCTGCCCAACAGGTCAGGATGTAGGAGTGCCCAGTGTTTGCTTTGCCTTCTCTTGGACTCAGCCTGGAAATGTGGGTTTGTGCAGCACCAAATGCTGTGTCTGCTTCTACCTTAAGAACTGACAGGCAGAAAAAAGATGAACAGTTAACTTTCTTTTTCACTCAGAATAAGGTAAAAAGAATCATCACTTGAAGCAATGTTCAAGTATGTGTAGGAATCAACCCAAATGAGTGATATCCTCACAGTTCTGGAACAGAGTTTTCAATCCTTGGACATTTCGCTGCCTCAGGAACAGCTGCTAAAGCAGTATTTATTATCTGCCATATGAAAAGTTGTTCAGGCCTTTTCCCATTCTCTTCAGCCTTTTTCTTGGTATCTGGCCCTGCAAACACAGTGGGGATATCTATGGGAAATACCTCTCCCTTTTGTCCCAGTTCTTTAGAGGATTGAGGGTTGCTCCAAACCAATTTAAACATCTTCACCATTCAGTCACATTGGGCTGGTAAGAGCCAAGGGGTGAAATATTAGGGGTGTTATGTACTTTATGGAGCAAGAAGCAACACTAAATTGAGATTTATTTTAAATGGGATGTATGCATAAAAAGGAGTGAAATGTATTTTATTTTTACCCAGCTGTCCAGGGTTATCGGTTAACTAATGCAGGATATGATTACCTGGCTCTGAAAACTCTCTCTTCCCGACAAGTCATCAGTTCTGTGGGAAACCAGATGGGTGTTGGCAAAGAATCAGGTAAACTAAAATAACCTTTTAAATAATTTTTTTAAGCAAA